GCGGCCTGTCAAGGACCACCTATCTAAAAAGGGATCCAAAGGATCGGATTATGGAACCAGCTATCTACTACTCACTTAACCCAAAACCAAAAGGACAAGTTGGCTATCCGGTCCTCCCCCCCCACCAATTTCATGGCATTCCGCGCATGATCGCCATTGTCTGTAGCGACCTCAACGATCAATGCAAGCATTACTGACCAGACAGGCTCCGTGTCGCATGGCCGACCAACCCGGGATCGTCTTGACCTGTATCTCCAGCGCCTGAGCTCGTCTACTGTTACTGTGATTATCATTGCAACATTTTTCTTCATTTACAAACGCGTCGATCATATTCATTATGGCTGCGGAATCGTGGATTGGGACGTGCGTCCATTGCACAAAGCTGCTAGCCAGCGTGCCTCTTTCCGTCCTCCTGGCTGCCATATCCGCAACCCTTCTGGGGTCATTCGTTCTCGTATGCTCTCCTCTCGGCTTTCTTTCCTCCCATCCTAATGTTTGGTGTTGATAATTACTGACATATTCCCGTGCAAGTTCTATATTGTCCTTTACCTAGTCGCACCCGAACCGCGAAAGCCATTACCTGAGGAGAAGCGATACCGCACCCTTTCCGAGGATGGAGCAATCACCAAACCCGAACAACTGCCCTGCTGGCAGGACGCCCTCGACCGGCAGAAACGTCCCGGTCGGATCTTTGACCATTCACATATGGAGAAGGCGGAGCTATTCATGTCCTTGGTGGTCCCTGCATACAACGAGGAGGACCGTCTGGCCGGCATGCTAGAGGAGGCGGTCAACTACCTGGAGAGGATGTACGGGACACTTGCGGCGTCATCCGCCTCGGACGAGAAGGCCGGAGACGCAGTCCGACAGCGGAAACCGGCCAACGGCCATGCGAACGGGCATGCCACGACAACGGCCACGCCTAGCGGCAAGTTTCCACCTGGGAAGGGCTGGGAGATTATCATTGTCTCCGACGGGTCCAAGGATAAGACGGAGGAGGTCGCGTTTGCTTTTGCCCGCGACCACCAGCTTTCGTTGCATCCTAAGGGGTATGCTGGTCCTTGGACGCCGACGCCCCATGAGGGGGTCCATATTCCACCCGGCACGATCCGGGTGGTGACTCTGGCCGAGAATCGGGGAAAGGGCGGGGCGGTTACGCATGGCATGCGGCATGTCCGCGGTCAGTACGTGGTGTTCGCGGATGCCGATGGGGCAAGCAAGTTTGACGATCTGGGGAAGCTGGTTACTGCTTGTCGGGACATTGAGGACTCGGACGGGCGTGGAGTAGCAGTGGGTTCGCGAGCGCACATGGTTGGCAGTGAGGCTGTTGTCAAGGTATGATTTGTAGTTCCTGTCAGTGTGAACTGGGCAAGGCTGACGTCGGACTCCTAATCACAGCGTTCGAAACTACGCAATTTCCTGATGCATTCGTTCCATCTGATACTGTGGCTTATGACGCCTCCCAAAACAGCGACCATCAAAGATACCCAGTGTGGGTTCAAGTTATTCTCCAGGGCCTCGCTGCCTTATATCATCCCTTATATGCACTCGGAAGGATGGATTTTCGACGTCGAGATGCTAATGCTGGCTGAATTCTCGAATATCCCGGTTGCAGAGGTGGCCGTGGGCTGGAGAGAGGTCAAGGGGAGCAAGCTGAATGTCGTCCGCGATAGCATCGGTATGGCTTGGGGTCTGGCTGTCCTCCGGGCTGCATGGACATTGGGGGTCTACAAACGGACGTGATAGAGGCTAAGAGATTCTATGTGTTGTACTTGGGTCTATACAATGAATGCTGCATCTTATCATCCGATTACTCCGTAAGGTCTGCCCAGAGAGGTATATTCCACGGTGAGGAAAAAAACAAGCCAATAGAGGTTCTATATTTATTATTCTAGATCACTCTTAAATGGCGGCGACTGATCCCGAGCGTCCCCATCTTGCCACCCAATTTCGAGAAGCCGAGCAGTGAAACGATCCCGATGAACCAAAGACCCATATCAAATTGAGTTTTCTCTTTTCCTCCTTGACCGCCGGATAGGGCCCATTGTTTCCATTACTATTCCGTCCGATTGATCGAAATGGCAGCGAGAGTCAAAGTTTTCGGCAGGATTTTTCCTCCCTGATGTCGGTCGGTCCGAGTCAAGCTGCAGAATGGAAGGCAGATCCTCGATAGTCCAGCCCGTGATGGAGACACGATGACGGCGAATGTTGGGCTGATTGGATGCTGGATAGTGGTATGATGTTTTTTTTTTTCTCTCTTTTTTTTTTTACCCTTTTTGCCAAATACTGACTCAATTGTCAGTCCATCAGTGCATGTCAGCTTGGAATGCTCTGATTCATATATTCCAAGTGATTGGATCCGCGCAGAATTTGTCTGCGGTTTTTTCTCTTCTGCAAATTATTTATCTTATACCCTTGGAGAGAGGCATTGGATGAGGTGTTGAATTCTGATATCATTTTGATTTATCTATTTGTGAATTGTCTGATGTTACTGGGAGCTCTTTCAACACTGGGGTATTCCTAAAGATAAAGAGCTAGTTCCCTAGGCTCCTTACCCTTGTCATTCGTTCCATGATATCTAGCTACAGTCTTGATCACTTTGATATGCTCAAAGTCATAGCTTCTACATCGAAACCCGCACAAATCAGGACACGGAGTCCTCGAAATACAACTCCCAAACAGTCGACTTTCCTGCGACTACCTCCAGAGCTCCGTCTGAAGATCTACGAATATGCCCTGGCGGTCCCTAATGAATACACAGACCGTCCGCTGATCGTTGTCAACGATCGCGGCAACACCTTTACCTCACGCGGACGGTTCCGCGCCCTCTCCATGTGTCCCAGCTGGGTAGGGCAGGACGGCACAGCACGCAATCTACTATCTGTCAACCGCCAGATCCACGACGAAGCAGAGGATTTTCTCTACTCGCGCTACACCCTGTTCTTCCTGAACTCGTTTGATCTGAACCGTCTCGGCGCGTTCCTGGATACCCTCAGCGCGACGGCGCGCAGCCGCATCCGTAGCGTCGGCTTCGAAATCTGCTTCTTTGTGCATTCGCAGACGGGGGTGCCGAAGCGCATGCTGAAGGACTACGAGCGCGCTGGACGCCTGCTCATGGAGAAGCTGCCGCAGTGGTCTAGTGTCTTCTTTTATCTGGATCCGAGGTTCTACTATCCGTCTGCTTCGGTGGGTGGGCGCGAGCTGTCGGCTCGTGGGGTCCTCTATCTGGCGACAGTGTTTGGGGCGCTGAGGAAGGACCTGCATTTCTTTCCGTTGCCGTCGATTCATCGGCATGTTATGGATGAGGCGCAGAGATTGTTGAGGAGGGGAAGTCGGTCGTCGCAGGGTCGGCCTTCTCTCTGACGGACCTTGAAAATCTTCTCTTATTCTTATTCACCGGGAGAGCCCTGAGATCTTGCAGCATATGTCATCGTTCGTTTTACAGTCTATGAACCACCCGGGACTGCTGCAGGATGACGTCCCGATGTTATGCGCTGCAAAAGCCGACATTGAGCCTTGTCCGATCTCGGGCTGGAGTGGGGTCAATTACTTGGAGCTAACGGGATTTTTCTGGCGCAAGAGGCTCGGATAGGAAATGCATGGCGCTGGTTTGCTTTTGTGGAATGTTTCACGTTTCTCATCTGGATGGGTTGCTTTCATTTTGAAGGATTTGGCACGGAGGAGTTTTCTGGCTGGGCATACTCATCTCATATAGACTATAGACCGATTGGACAGTTATCCGCTCCCTGTACTTATAACAATGCTATACTAATACTAATATCAAAGGAAGCAAGACTATATGATGGTTTTACGGGAGAAATCCGCATGCCACACATACTGCTTGAGCTCATGGCATGATCGGCCGACCCAACCTCATCTGCAAGTACCACTCTGATCCTGACTACGGGAGGGTTCGGACGATCATTCAAAAATAATAATCAATTAGAATGTTTACACAGCCACAAGAACTCACAATGACACCTGAACGAGGAGAATCGATCATCTGTTGGACGGGTTGTGTATGGCATAACGTCATCGCGTCTCTCGTGATCGCCCACTTTCCCCTACCACCTCCATTTTGTAGATTCCCCAAGATCTGATGCATACCTTCGCGATTGGCATCCACTTGGAGATATAACTATCGATTTATCCTTGTTTCTCCATCCTTCCTCGATATTCATCTCCGTGCTGGCACTGAACTCGACAGCCGCGGTTCGTTGAGAGAGCACTGAGGTTACACTCTCATAAGGACGGTAGGAGACTGAAATGCTAGTCTGGTACGTCTCACACGATTCCCCCGCATAAATGTGGGACATCCATCGTCGACCCGCTTTCTGAAAACTGATAAATGCTTCAGTCTGCGATCGTTCATCAACAGCTCCTTTTCCGGCAACAGGATGCGCTGAACTGCTATCGCTGCGGTGAAAGATTGTCCTCGTCCACTTGTTCTCCGACGTTTGGCTGGCTCCAAACAACCAACATTCGACCTCCACACTACGAGGCAGTTGACAGCGCTATCGCTGCTCTTTCTATGGGGCCACGCTGTGCCTCAGGAGACCCTACATATTTGTCCGCGCTTTCAGGCACCGCTTCATACGCTAGTTGTTGGTCGAAAATTAACCACTCAACGTCGTACAGGACGACTCTGTCGCCTAGCGACCCCCTTGCCCCCTCTTGTCTGTACCTCGTAGGTGGATCCCTGCATGTGTTTTCCCTTTAGTTTTCATGCGTTGGAGATCTGCCCTGGCGATGCTGTTTTCCATTTCGAGAGGACGCCAGCTTGATAATCCTCACGTATCATTGACAACCCGCTGATTATTAGCAAATTTTCGTGGAGATTGAGTGCTCATTCTCTCCTGTATTAGTTCTATTGTCTTTGAAGTTCCCTTGCTTCTTTCTCTTTTTCTCCACCTCTTCATCCCTTCGGACAGGAGAGGCTTTTTTTAACTGGAAGACGACCCTGCAGTTGTTTCATGTGAAACGGTCTGGCTACCGCCACCATGAAATCAACGATTGCAAAGGTTCCCAATGGGCATGGGAGCCTCTACAAGGAGGTTCGCTTTTCGCCAACGGCAACCCCCATCCGCCGTGCACAGTCGGTCTCGACCAGTAACCCCTCCTCCAAGTTCGATCACGGGCGGGTGCTTGGCAAAGCTGAAAGCGATCGGTTCTCTTACTCGGCTTTGAGTGCCGATTATCTGGAGCAGGCCCGAACGCTTCTCCATCGCCAAACGGCGAGCTTCGAGAATGAACGGGCACTTTTCGCAGAGGAACGGCAATTGTGGGAGAAGGAGAGGGAGCTACTAAAACTAAGAATATCAGAACTAGAAGCCTTATTGAAGAGGAAGAGTACCCCAAACAATGACCATACGGCTCCTGACACCCTTGTCAAATTCTCTTTGCATCCCTTCGGTGGTCCGGTGTCCCCTGATCTATCTAATGAGCGCCACCGCAATCACGCTTATATAAGTGCTCAGGTGTGGGAGGGGCCCAGCCCTACGACTCGGCCGACAAGGGTTTTTCACGGTGTGGAGAAGACCGATGGTCAGAACCACCTCGCGTCGATCACTGAGCAAGGAGCGCATATGCCACTCACTGCGCCGTCCTTAGATGCGGCCTTATCCCCCAAGGCTCGTGCAGCCGAACCCTCCTCGTGTATGAGTAGACCCGTCCCAATCGAGAAGCTTGACAGCAAGCTAGATGGCATTACTCTCAAATCTTCAGCGCTACCGCCCGATGTCGTCGCCCGCGTGATGACACCACCATCCCCTTCGCCAATGGATGTATCTCCAGAGTCGTCCGATCGTTCGAAATCGTCTTCGGAACGTAAGAACAGTCTGAAGCTGAAACTGTCCGAGCTTGGGCCACCCGACGTGAATCTAGTTAGGGATGCTGGGCACACTCCCATGGTGCTCATCGATGCCGATGCGGACACAGAGCAGGCCTCGGTTAACGGTGACGTGATCCCCCAAGTCCAGGGCAAGGAAGAGGAGCCCTTTGCTCCTAGGGCGACGAGGGTTGGACAGCCTGCGGAAAACTCCGACTCCTACTTTCCGGACTTACCTGATGATCCGGCCCTCAAGGGGCCGTTATCCCTGCTGAATGAAGAGGACCATGACAGCGAGTTCCTACAGGAGCTGGATCTGAAACTCCTCGATCAGGCCAGACGAGCCATTGGTCGCTCCTCTGATGCCGATCCGGACGACGAGAAGGTAGCAGATGCAGACCATACTGAGTCCGTTCCTGAATTGAAATTCAAGAACACGACCAATTTTGGCACTGCGTTCGGGGTCTCGGACTTTTGAAAAAGCTTGAGGCGTGCACAATTCCATTTGCATATTTCCTCTTGAGTTTGTTCAACTTGACCCTTTTTCATTTACTTTACGATGATACACCTGTTGTTCGACGCACATTATCAGTGATTTTTGAGGAGATTATATGCAATGTGATATATATACCCGAGTCATTTCGGTGGCCTATACTTCTGTTCCCGTTTTGGCAAACTAGAACGATGATATTGAGATAACGTCTTATTCTCATCTCTTCAAGTTTGAGTCGACAATCTGACTTCGCGATGTGTAACAAACCTTATCTACCAGGCAGCACTGTTTAAAGAAGTTCCGGGCACTGGCGTTTGACTTGTCGTGGGCGTATCAATAACTCGGCCACCCTTGCATGGCATCAACCCCGAAGGGGCGTATCAAGCCACGATTCCCTCTTGTCTCATCCCTTTGCCCTTCCATGTATCTTCGTTGCATCTGCATGTGCAGTGCAAATCCGGAGGATACCCCGAACACCCCTCATCTTATACTCCTAGCTATCATCGGACTAAGAATAGTCTTCACCTTAATGCCTTACATGTCAAGTGCTCGGATCTCGGTGGCTGGCTACGAAGGATGTGAAACCGCTTGGTGAAGGCATTGAACGCACTTGCACAGAAGATGAAAGCAGATATAAAAGACCTCCTGTCCCATGCTATGATATGGTCTATCTATCATCCATTCTTTTTGACATTTTCGCTCGTTGAGAGCAGTCATTCGTTTATCTATCAGAACCACATTCTTTTGCTTCTTCGGTACTTTCTCTCATTACATTCTTTCCATCGACATGACAAAGATGCATAACGTCAAAAAGCTCTCGGCGCTGCTGTGCCTCCTGCTCGCGGTTGGCCCTACTGCCGTTCTCTCGGCTCCCATCGCTGATGTAAGAGATGACACCCTTTTGACTCTCTTCCAGCTTCCTACCCTACTAAGGAAGAATTAGGTCGAAAGCCTGGCCAAAAGGCAGGCCACTCACAGCAACACCGATGCTGCCTCCGTCGTGGGCGCCGGCATCCCCGATGGACCCAGCTTCAACCAAGGCGATTTCTTCTCCACAAGCAGCGATGAGCACCGCGATGAGGACTGCGATGAGGACTGCGATGAGGACTGCGATGAGGACTGCGATGAGGACTGCGATGAGGACTGCGATGAGGACTGCGATGAGGACTGCGATGAGGACTGCGATGAGGACGAGGATAACGATGACTCGCCCTCCAGCCCGGGCTCGAGCTCCAGCAGCAACACCGGCGCCGCATCCTTCATGAATGCTGGCATCCCCGACGGACCCAGCTTCAACCAAGGCGATTTCTTCTCCACAGGCAACGATGAGCACCGCGATGTGGGCGATGGTGACAATGGCTCGCAGTCGGGCTTCAGCACCAGCACCGACGCAGGCGACTTCGCCACGTTTGGTATCCCCGACGGCCCCAGCGCTACCTTTGGAAAATTCTTTCACCATGATTATGAGGAGACTCACTCCGAGCAGCCCGAGACTACGCATGTTCCTGAGCCTACTCCGCCTACGCCTCCTGTAGAGACGCCTACCTCGACCCCTCCGGCTCATACTCCTGCTCCTGCTCCTCCTACTTCTGCTCCTCCTGCTCCTCCTGCTCCTCCTGCTCCTCCTGCTCCTCCTGCTCCTCCTGCTCCTCCTGCTCCTCCTGCTCCTCCTGCTCCTGCTCCTGCTCCTCCTGTTCCCGCTCCTCCTCCGGCACCTCCTGCGCAGACTTCTGAAGTTCCTGCCCCAGCTCCTCCTCCGGCGCCTCCTGCCCCTGCCCCTGAAGCTCCTGTCGCTGCCCCTCCTGCACCAGCACCAGCTCCACCCGCTGATCATTCCTGTACCTGCAGTTGAACGGCCATGATGAACAAGTGCATGGAGGCGTCCCAATGTATAATGGCCTCCACAGGGACACAGCGTGTCTCTTATACTCTACTCCGACCTTTTCTTTTGCTTCTGTTCCTGTTCAAATTTCTTCCTATCGACCGTTTTATCTCTGTCGGCATTGTCAGGGGTGCATCGGTTGTATTATGATCTTTTATTTCTATACGTTGCTGTCAAGGAGTAGAGTATAGTATAATCCAAGTGTCTCTCAAATTCAGTATCGTCTTTGTGTGTGTTCTGCAGTGTGTGATCCCAAGGTGAGAAATAAAGTACTATTAGGATTTGCGTCATATCTTTATAGAATCGAAAGCAGAAAAACTCCTCGCTAACGCCAAACAACCCCCAGGAAAAGCACAACATGTAATCATACACCCATGGTAAAGTCATGTTCAATCCCGGGCGTCACACTAGCGATAAACTTCAGAAACACAACCAGGTACTGATCAACCCGGATAGCAACCTGATCTTCCTCGTCATGCTGCAGCACCTCCCATTCATCTCCACCGGCCGCATGCCCCTGCTGCTCATTCAGCGATAGGCCCCGCGTCTCGTCCACCAAGCCCTCCAGCCCACGCTCGGAGTTGATCCTGTTCGCCTCAGCCGCCGAATGCGCCTGCTTGAGCTTATCGCGGCGTATCTTGAGGGCTGCGTCGGCGCGGTCGAGGAGGGTCTTCATGACAGAGGCGTGGCGGCAGGGGTGCACGGAGGCCATTTTGAGGCCGCCGTCGAACCAGGGGAAGTCTTCCAGCGTCACGGTCTTGTCCTTGTAGTCGCCGACGATGTCCTCCATCATGAGGTGCGGGGGGAGGGGTTCGGAGGGAGAAAGGTAGCCGGACAGGTAGAGGCGCGGGGTGCGGTAGAAGTTTGAGTATGTGATGTAGAGGTTATAAGTGCGGATTGGCCTTTTACCAACATGTCAGTGAAACACAGTTTACATAGATGGGATGAGACGTACTGCGTCGTCGACTTCCCCGCCGGCTCCCGGATAATCGCCTCCTCGTCATCATCATCGTCCTCCATATCCGGGATATCCTCCTCATCGTCCTCCCGCTCGCCCATATTCCCTGATTCATCCACTGTCCGCACATCCTTTATGCGCTCCGCCTGCTTCTCGGCCAGATCGCGGCCCCCGCCTGTACGCAGCCACCCGTCGCCGTCGTCCGCGTCCGCACCGGACAACATATCCCGGACGATCTCGTCCTCGTGGCCTGCGTCGCCGGCGAAGTTCTCGTTCAGCCGTCGGTGGCAGGGGACCCCGCGGGTGACTAGGAACTGCTTTCCTGGGGGTAGATACGAGACTCGCTTGGCGGGGGAGGAGGCGTCGGCCCAGGCCCATGTCGGGAACTTGTAGACGAGGTAGTCGCCTGCCAGGACGAACTCCTCTGGGGTGATTTGGCCGGTGGTGCGGAAGGTGGAGGTGCGGGAGACGGGGGCCAGGCGATCCCGCCAGGTTGATAAGGTGGAGTGGAGGATGTTCATCGTTGACCTTGACTGTGTGCTGATATTTATTTGCAACCTTGGAGATGATGTTCTTGGAGTCTGTATGGATAGCGTGTGTTGAAGTCAAGTAGTGTTTAGGTTGAAGATTGGATGATGATCAACAGAAGTGGCGGAGAGCAGCTATCTCTATGTTCCTCACGCGGGGCTACATCATGTGGCTTAGGCAGCGTCACAACCACCACCAAACAGAAATCACGGGAAAGATAAGAGCTGATCTTAATAGTGATTTGATTGTCTATAGCTAGGTATATTTAAGTAGGCCGGTCGAATGATCAGCTACACCTGACTGACATGACACTGATAGTGACACAATCATGTCTTTAGATGTTTAGCCAAATAATGCTTGTATGGATTCAGTCCCCGTATCCCGCTAGGGCACAACAGCGAGCTAAAGTTGCCCGCGCACTCAATAAGAGGGCCTCTCAAGGTACACATCACCAAGAGTGACGCCATGGATTTGAGCTTCGATACTGTCAAGAGGTTGTCCATGAGATATCCCAGTATTCAGCGACGGCAAGCCCAAGCAAGGTCCGGATGATACAGCAATCAGCTTGTCTGCCTGGGGCTTTCGGAACATAGAGCGTACTGTGACCCTCACGGCAGCTGATCCTCTATTGATCGAGTTGGATAAACCCTGAGACGATGTCAGAGCTGTCGTTTTCAGGACCTCACTCGCCCTCCTCCATCATCCTGCGTCGTTCAATCTCAGCCTCCAATTCCTCCACATTCATCGGCACCATCCGCGTCTTCCATTTGTCGAGCTCTGCCCTCGCAAATCCTTCCAAGCTCCCCATAGCCACAACCAAGAACCCCAGCTCCTCCCGATCGACGTCAAAGACCTCCCACCACTCCCCATCCACCAGCTTCACTCCCTTTTCCCGAGCAGCGAGGTATATGGCCGCGACAGCAAGCGCATTCGGCTGGTGTGTGACGTAGAGTAATTGCGGCGACAACAGAGACCCATTCAAGTGCTCGAATACCCTCTGGGCTACATCTGATGAAGAAACGCCGAGGGTCTGCAGGTACGTCAGGGCGACTGTATGCGGTAGGGCGACATGTGTGTTGAAGCCCAGTGTGCGAAGGATGACCGACTCGATTCGCAGGAGGACGGCGCGCTGCGTCTGGTAGCCTCCTTCGGAGAGGACGTACGTTTCCGGGGCGGGCTTATCTGTTACTCCTCTGGGATTGACGAACCATAGTGGAGACGCTTCTTTGGACAAGAGGAAGTTGTAGACGTTGAGGACCGATCGAGGTGAGGTTGGCTGGAATGAAAGCTTCGCGGTCAGGTACAGAGCTGCGGCGGACACGTCCTGGAGAGTGAATCTAGTTAGCTACTAGGATACAGCAATTGAACCTTAGCGGACAAACCTTCACTGAATAAATACGCATGCTTCCCCCTTCAGGGCCGATCCAGAAGCGGGTGTAAGTCACGATGGCCTGCGCAATGATATCCTGCGACAGGCGCAGCAGGATGCCAGCTGCGTGGGTAAGCTGCGCGCCCGCAAATCGAAGGGACGCCTCTAGGTCGGGAGTGACGCCATCAATGGACGATGAGGAGCTAGATAATTGCTCGGGAGTTGCGAGTGCATTGGAGAGATGTTGCAATGCAGTTACAGCTGGGGGTGCCATGCTGTGCTTGGTCTTTGTGGTGGTGGTTATGTGAGATGATAGGACTGCGGAGAAGATTCGATGGCAATGGAGCTCGCGCAGTTTACAGCCTTTCTACCAAAGCAATCAATGGTTGCATCATCTTACACACTATTTTTTTTCATAGATCAATGGTTCTATATCAACTAGGAGACTGTTACAATGTAGATAACCATGTAAGTGTACATCACGTTCAGACATTGCGAAATATCACCCGTTTTAGAAGTTCGCTCTCTCCATCCTCTTCCACCATTCGCCGGAATCTCCCGTTCTTCAGCTGCATGAGAGCCTGTGGGGAAGCGAATTCTACCGCTTTACCTGCGTCGAGCACCAGAATCCGATCAAAGTCAGCGACGGTACTAATACGATGCGCAATCACAAGCATCGTTGTTGACCCTTGCCCAAAGCCGGACCGGATAGACCTCTGGATCACTTTGTCAGTAGCAGTATCTACCGCCGATGTGGCTTCGTCCAGCACAAGGATCTTGGGTGCAGAAAGCATGGCACGAGCCAGGCAGAGCAGTTGCCGCTGGCCCTGCGAAAGGTTCGATCCTCCCCCGGTGACACGGGTGTCGAGGGGTGAAAGATGTGTCTTTTCTTGCAAAGATTCTGAAGATGATGACGGGCAGCTGGGCCCTTTAGCCGCTGTTTCCCTCTCCGTCGAGGACCTGCTACCATCTTGTGCTAACCATTGTACGCGATCCAATACAGCAAGCAAATCGCTGTCATCATGCTCTTGGAAAGGATCGAGGTTGGACCGGATCGTGCCGGCGAACAATGTCGGATCTTGCGGGATAATACCCATTCGAGGACGCAGATGATGGAGCTTGATCTGGCTGATGTCGACGCCATCGATGAGAATGCGCCCTTCCTGAGCTTCGAGAAACCGAAATAGAGCCAGCGCCAGCGACGACTTGCCCGCTCCGGTGCGACCTACTATACCAATTCGTTCATTGGGCTCGGCTGCAAAGCTTACACCACGGAGAACCAATGGGTCATTAGGCGCGTAGCCCACCGATAGGTTTTCGACTTGCAAACGGCCTTTGGACGGCCATGCAGCCGGGGCATCTTGGCCATCGTATCGTTCTGTCTTGATGTCAGAGTACTCCAACACTCTTTCCACGCAATTCATGTCCAAGTCGAACATGACATACATTCTGATCGCCATGGCAAGCGCTGCGCTCAGCTGAATGATAAAACTGATCGCGAACCCGGCTGATGACACTTTCAGATCTTGCAGGAGAGTGAACGTCATTGCCGCTGCAGTCGTAAACAGAGCGCCGCTCATGTTGACACGGAGATTAAGCCAATGATTCAAGAGGCAAAGATTCCAGTAGACACGAGCATGTCGATCGATCAGTCCATGCATTCTATCGACGAATGAATCAACCCTTTGATAGGAACGGATCGTCCAGAGCCCGCTAAGTGAAGAAGCAAGCAGCTCATAGATAGGACTTCGGCTTATACTTTCGAGACGCTTCAATTGTCGTGCCGCGGCCAGATATTGGCGGGCGTACCAGCCGCACACCCACGCTACAATTCCAGCGAAAATGATGATGACAGGACTGACTAGTATTCCAGCAATGACAGCGCCTAGTGCTTGCATGCCCTCACCTAACAGAAGCGTTATATCGAACCCCAGACGTGAGTCAATCATGTTGAAGTCCGCCGTAAATCGGTTCAAAATACGGCCTAACGGCACGGTGTCCAGCCAACGAAGTGGTGCTCGGAAGACAGCGTGCAATACTTGGCTGAAAAGGCGTCGCGAAGCCTGAAGCGATGCGGTGAGTGCAAGGTAGGACCTCAATGAGCCTACTATCCAAACAATGACCGACAGAACGATGTATACTCCTAGGTAGAACTGTAGCTCAGATGATACCCCAGACGAGGCCAACAGTGAACTTTTTTGCTCACTCCATAAGCCCAGCCACCGACCCTATTGAAAGGTCAATTAACGTTTCCAAAAAGTATTTGAAACCATATGATCAATATAGCATCAGGGGAAGCTCACTTTTCCGAGCGCCAGGCCAGTATATGTGGCAAAGCAGAGAGCCAGCACGACCCATGCCCGCAGTCCGCCGCATTTCTGGATGTATCCACGAAAGACGCTCAAGGGAATGGCCCCCTTTTCAAAAGTTTCCTCTTCGACGAAATTTCTCGGACGTTTAGAAACAGTTGGATGCTGCGCTAACCGAAGATCTGCCAGGCAGCCTCGATATCTTTCGTTGGAGCATGCTAAACGGTCCTGGGACCCCGATGCTTCGGGATTCTCATACACAGCTGCCGTATTATCCACGTCGAACTGACCGTCGAGAAGCTCCTCGAGTACGCTGCTGTGTCGCATCTGAGTCAAAGATCCAGCGAATATGAGATTCCCGCTGTCTAAATAGGCCACGTAGTCCACCCGCGGAAGACAGAGTCTCACATGATGCGTGACGAGGATCCTAGTCCGGCGAGTTGCGAGTTCGCCGGTTAGAGCATGCTCATACAGATGTTGCGTGGTGTGAACATCAACTGCGCTGAAGATGTCGTCCATGATTATGATGCCCGCGCGGCTGTAGAGAGCACGGGCTAGAGAGATGCGTGCTTTCTGGCCGCCGCTCAGATTCACTCCATTCGGTCCGACCTCAGTGAGGTCACCACCTTCCAGGATTTGCAGATCTCGGACTAAAGCACATGCGAAGAGGACTTTTCTATATCGCTCCTCATTGAACGGCATCCCGAACAAAATGTTCTGGCGGACCGTAGCTGCTTCTATCCACGGAGTCTGAGCAACATAAGCTGTGGCAGAGTCTATTATCCAATCTTCCCCGGGACGAGGAAGCTTGTACATGCTTCTAATTGATGGCCTTTTGACTATACCTTCCAGAATCTTGCATTCGTCGAGTATCGCAGCAAGCAACAAGCTTTTGCCAGAGCCTGTTCGGCCACACACAAGGCTCAATCCATGTTCAGGAAAGTGTACAGTCAAGTTCCGCAGCACAAAGGGTGTTCCTGATGAAACATCGCTGGGTTGAGCACTATCTGGCCAGGCGACTGTGGCATTATCGAAGCGGATGCTGGGCGATAGTAGTACTGTAGAAGAGTTTCTCTCAGGGGCGTCCAGAAAGTTATCAATGCGCTTCATGCTGATCAAGGCATCCGTTGCGTTTGTAATTAACTCTGGAAGGGTAGACAAAGCAACCTCAATCGAAGTAAGAGCAGAAATCGCGGTAAAGGCAACAGATGCCGTAAGTTCTCCATGGCTGATGGTGTAAACGGAGAGAGATGCTACAGATAGAAGGATCGGGGCCAGAACCCAAAGGGAGAAACATATCACATTCCACCGAAAGCTGGTCGCCTGGGCAAGCAATTCTGCATCCCTGAGTTGGTTCAGCTGTTCTTTCCACCTATCCTCGGCCGCAGAGAACTTAATCTGTCGTATACCACGAAGGGCCTCCGTCAAAGCGATGATTTTGCGGTCACGACAGGCCATCAGATCCTTCCCTGCCCGAGTATATCTAGCCATACAGGCATGATTCAGAAGCATGAGGAGGGCTAACGTAGTTATCCCCGCCAAGAGGCTCTTCCAGCCAAGGACGTGCTGTAGGAGTCCGCAGGCGACTCCAAGTTTCATCGGCGCTAAAACAAAGCTGTAGAGGAAAGTTGCAATTCCAGCGATTCGTGGCACATCCACAGCGACAAGGTTCACAGCAACTTGTGTACCTTGAGCACAGTCTTCTTTCCCAGTGCCCTTCAGATCGTCCTGACTCGATGCTATCGAGTGCAAGGCCTTGTTGAACATGACAGCAGAGAGCTGTTCGTACACTCTGATAGCAAGTTTATTAGAAGCAATCCAACCAATCCAAGCCTCAAGCCACGCGGATAGACTTGTGCATATCCCCAATGCCAACGCCCAGAACCAAAGATCTGCAGTAACATCTTCCGCCCCAGAGCGTTTCTCGAGAATCTGAAGAATTTGAAGAAGGGAAAGATGGGGTCCGAACGCAAGGAAGCTCGCCGGGACTGAAAGAGCAAGCTGGAACAGTAGATGTCGGCCATTCGAAAACACAAGAACTTTCCATAAGGGTGTCCTGCCTTTTCCATTGCGTGAAGCCTTAGCGTGTGATTGCGCGAAAGATCCTTGAAGGTTCTCTGCTCGAGTGTCGAAATCTAACTCCGGCAGATGGTCAATGTCTCCGTCACTTTTGCGAGAAACCTGTCGAAAAAGGTGGCTAGCCCAACTGAAGGTCATGCGCCCTAGAAAGGACGTAGTAAGCTCTCTATCGACCAGAGTTCCATGTCGGTATACATCCGGACGTCGAGGCAGCGAGAGGCTTATGATCACGATCAGTGTCGCTGCACCAATTTCAACACCTATTATATAAGAGTGGAGATCATCCAAAAGGCCAGTCTTGTGTCTTGCGAACAGCTCCCATGCAAGGCTAATGATGGTGACTGAAGCACCGAGCGCTTGCTTCCATCCTAGAGAGTACCGAGCCGTGGGCGAATTCTCCATGGCAAGGGCTGTTGACTGAACGAGTTGAAGAATCTAGCGACGATGATCATTAGAAAACATGCCCGACATCAAGCATACGTGGATATAGACAGAAGTTACTCACCCAGTGAACGATCTGTGCCCAAATGTTGAAGGAAAACATTGTTCCAGGCACAACTGCCCGTGTTGAAGCTGCTATACCCCCGCTGATGACAGCGACAATAATGAACATCCTCTCAAACTTCTTCTTGGACGCGGCAATCGACGCTCTGTCCGCTTCTCCATCTTGATCGACGTAGAATTCGCAAAGATACCGGTTCAATCCATGAAAGCGCATCACTGCAGACTCGAGTAAGGTTCGAATGGCAGGGACCGTCAGGAGACTAACCAGAGCGGTGCTGCTAATGTCAGCTATCAGACAGAAAACTGCCAGTGTTTGCATGACGGCAGTCTTTGCTTAGCCACTCATTGATGCGAAGCTCAGCTTCGATTGTAGTCAGGAACAAACGCCACCGTTGCCTACATACAGACAACCTTTATCAAACATGTCGAATAGGGCAATGAACGGAGAATTAACCGTTAGATGAGGGTATGACATGTTAAGAATGCAGATCGCCCATCTGGGCTGCATATGCATCGTATCGTCATGATTGACGAGACCCAGGGAAGCAAACAAGGGAAGAACCCGAGGAATCTTGTCTCTGATTTTGGCCTCCTGAGTATGCCACTGCTATCCACATCGAATAGCTGACGCAACTCGCAGTCGCGATAGCGCGCCGCCTGGTCAACAAGGTCAGTCTTCACACCAGTTTGACCCGGTTGCGCGTGGAACCTTACAGTGCCACCCACAGGAATGCGGCCTCGTATGTAATCATCAGTTATTCAACATACAGCACTATATTAAGCCTCTCCCTTTGCATGGTCAGCTGCCTTTCATGTGAACATCGTGAAGCCACTGAAAGTTCCGGTTACTGACGCGAGGGTATATCGTTTAAGAACTCGCGGCCTCTCAGAGGGGGCTCGGACAGGAACCTCTGGACTTCGGCGTATCACTAGGAAATCGATCATTCTAGAAGTAACGCAGGTCGTCGATCCGCGATAAGAATGGGACGAGGTATTAACTCGATTTATACATGTAAGTAGAGGCGGAAAGCAGCGAGCTGTCACGTAGGAGACCTCTGCTTGGTAATGCACCTAAAGACTCCCTCAAATTTACGGCAGGAAGATGCTTTCATCGGCAAGACAGACTTCGTCGAGTTCCAGCCCACAAGAAGCAGAGAAGCAGAGAAGGAGCAATAGAATCCTGGTGTTGGTGGCCGCTTCACAATGAGGATTTTGCGGAAAGCTTACACGGCATTCTGGGGATGATTATGGCGCGTGAACTCATCGAGCATCGAGCATCCACAGAAGCGCGATACTGGGGCCAATTACTTAAATTCCGCAACTGAACCATGGCCTATCTAAGAAATGGGCTGTTTTCTGCGGAAAGATAGATCAACGACCGACTTTCGCATCTGATGAGCGGCAGTAATTTAGTGTTAGGGGAACCACGAAGCCGCACCCATGGGTCTCCAATGATGACATCCATGATCCATGGTTATCATAGACATTCCCGGCTGCTTGTCACCGTAGCCTCTATCAAAAAAAGCGAAACCGCAGAGTATGTGGCATCGTCAGCACGTTGTTTGATCAATCTGCCGCGCTTCCCCGCGTGGAAAAGACCGCACGTCTGAGCCTTGAAGAAGAGTACCAGCCATCGTCTCATTTACGACATTGACTATATGGTAATCTTCATTACGTCGCCATTGTCGTCTAGGATCCCATACGGAAGTGACGTCGTCCATCAACGACAAGAAAGTGGTCGTCATACGCTCAACATAAAATGATCTGTCCTGGAAGAGGCAAAAAAAAAAAAAAAAAAAAAAAAAAATGTGGCTCAGTCCACGCGGCTTGAGATAAAGGGTCAAGTAAATCTGGGAGTCAATAGGTTATCTTGTGGAGCAGGAGGGAAGCTGTTCCCTCCCCAGCCACCGCATTTTCGGTGATCTGCGGAGGGCAACTCTGGGCAAGTCTGATCTTAATTGTTATTCTCCATCGGCGCTAAATCCCCCAGCCTCGCGAAATGCGCGGTCGCTGTTAAATTTTAGGGGGAAGCTGTTCAAGATGGCATCAAACTAGCCGCACACTTGCATGCTCGACTAGAGACAAAACAAATACTGGATGTTCAATAATCTAACGGATTCGACATCAAAAAGACTACTCCGTACCTCGAAAGGCTACAGTTGCTCGATGGTATCTGGACTATCGATTATCGATACTAGCTCTTCCTCTGATTGTCTAGTCTCCTCCTGGACCTGACAGGAAGCACGTGTGGGTTCTCCTGATTGCTATCGCTTGGCGTTGTGATCATCACCCATCCTCCAGCCTAGACTGATTACTCTGGCTACCTTTCTTTTTCTAACTTTCCTTAAGGCTGTGTTGACTCATTTCCCTTGAAATCTGAGCCTTCAAGTTCTCCAGGTGGCTCATATTATCATTGCTGTACCGTTTTTTCGACATCTCCCCACCTTTACGCAGATCTCTCGGCCGTATGTGACGGGCTTGAGTACAGAGTAGTCGAATCTGTCCGTCCCTATTTTTGTTTTCCGCTTCAATGGTTGACGTGGGTAACCGTGTATCATTGGACTGAACAGGCAATCATCGACGTGGCATTCCAGCCGTTGTCCAAGTGGTGCAAACGCTTGCATACCTTTACCATTCCTGGTCATATTCCCTATCACCCAGTGACCAGTGACCAGTCAAAGCTTGACCTCCACGATGCTCCAGGACTGTGATCACTCATCGATGCCAGGCTCGACTGCTGTCGTCATTGACAACCTCGAACCTACCTCAATTCCAACTTCTTCTGTTGCTCATGATAACTGCCGTCAGTCCGACGAAGATATTCAGCCCTCCCACGAGAACGCGGTGAACACTCCTCCAACTCCGTCATCACAGATAACCGATACATTAACCCCACTGCCGGAGAGAAACCGTCTTACCTCTGCACATACATCTTTCCACCGTCGGGCAAACACTGAGATTATTCGCCGGCAACCCCACCTATCGGTCAAGCAGCTCTTTGCAGACCAGCCCAAAACATACGAAGACCTAGTCGACGGAGACAGTTCCTCGGGTCCGGCCTCGGAGAATTCTACTAGAAAGACACTCGAAGTAGGCGCGAGACTCTTGTCGGGTTGGTTCCAGGGCAAGTCGGAGCCGGTGAATCTGACCATGGTGCCCCAGTCGGCGGACCAGGATGCCCTGGGATTGGCACCCTCTGGGGCATTTTTGAATCGTGCATCAAAGCGGGCCTCTTCGCCACTCAAACAAGTTACATCGACGAATCCGTTCAACTTCTTTGCCTTCAAGCGCCAGGGAGAGGGCCGACCGGAGCTTCCCGAACCTGCAGATGATGAGATTCTCAATATGGACATAACTGCTGCCTTGTTCCCACCAGAGTCACTGGACCTCGACGGACAAGAAGCGTTCAGTGCCTTACGAACCAACGCCGATAACCTCCTTAGACGGCTGCAGGCAGCCTATAAGGAAAGGACTTTTGCCCTGCACGAAGCCTTGGCGGACAAGAACGAAAAACAGGAAGAACTGGAAGAGACTCGAACGCGGGTTGGACACCTGAAGGTCCAACTTGATGGTATGGCGGAGAAAGTCCTCCAGCAGGAGAAGGCCATGAAGGCCATGGCCGAGGAGCTCGAGCAGGAAAGGCAACTGCGCCGGCGAGAAGAAGACGCGCGTCGTCGCAGCGTGATGCTGGTTCGGTCGAGTGACGAAGAGAGCCTTTCCGACGTCGGGGCTGAATTGCAGACACCGAAACGCAGTTTGAAGCGAGCCAGCAATGGCACTTACACGAGCGATTCAGGCTTCGACTCTGGCGACGAGAGTCTCGCAGAAAGTATTTTCTCTCGCCGGGATGGCCTGGAATCCCCGACGTCAACGATCCCACCGTCGCCGAACATATCTCAAATTGCTCTATCTGTCCCTACGTCGACCCCTATACAGCCGAGCGCAAAAGAGTCGAAACTGGCTCAGGCGCCACCGGTGCGTCAGTCCACGTACGATCGCGTGCTGAAGGGACTTGCCTCTACGGGTATCACTAGTTCGTGGATGGGTCACACGTCCAAATGTAATATCTGCCATGGCGTCCCCGCCTCGGAGGCATGGGGCGTCCTCGGCGTCATCAAGGAGGAGAATAGGGGCTTAAAGCTACGGCTGAGCGAGCTCGAACTGGTTGTTGATGATTGTCTTAGTCTTGTTGGATCTTGATTTTGCGCCAGACTGTGTCATGAAGTTTGCGAGCTAGGATATCTGGATATACCACCCCTTCTATGCCACTAATCTGGTCGATACATATATACTACTTGAATCGAATCCTTTGATGAGGGAAACAGCACATCAAAAGTTAGTGAGCGCACTAGAAAGATACCAGTCAAAGGACCTAAAGTAACGAAATGTATGTAGTCTTGAGTCGGTTCATGAAGGATTTCAAGTGAAGTGTGTGGGATATCCCTCAACGTCAAGCTGAATCCATGGACTGCATGTTAACTAATGCAATTACAATGACTCATCTGAATATCAGCATAGGAGTATCATCCACATTTCCTCACCATCGATTAGATATGTGGAGTGGTATTGACGGGGAAGACCAGGTGGCCTCAACGGGGTTAGCGTGGCTGGAGACAGTAAAGTGGCCAGCGAGGCGTCTACTGTCTTGGTCTTAGTGCTCCTCTGCCCCAAACCAAACCTCCTCGACCTGACCTCTTCCCTCCTTGTGTGCAATAATTCCAGTTCCCCCCCCTTCTTCTTTTCTCTTCTCCTTCTTCCTAGGTAATTCTTTTTCAACAACTTTCGCTCCTTCAGCTGGCTTCATAGCTCCAGCTTCATTTTGACTTTTCTTTCCTCCACCCCATAATTGTTTTGGTGACACGGGAGGTCGATAGCCACCATGAGCGGACGTGAGTTGTCTCTGCACGCGATCGCATTCCCCATCGCGATAGCTCTCGTTTCAAGCCAATTGATCCATATTGACTGGTGTTTGACTTGTAGTTCGATTTCTTGATCTAATCAAGCCCTTCACGCCCCTCCTGCCGGAGGTGGCAGCTCCTGAGACCAAGGTGCCCTTCAACCAGAAGTTGATGTGGACGGGGGTATGTTTGCTCATTCTGATGGAGCCGCGAACGGGGAACTGAATCGCTGACTGTCTGTGGCAGTTAACATTGTTGATCTTCTTGGTCATGAGTCAGATGCCTCTTTACGGCATTGTCTCATCCGACACTTCGGATCCCCTGTACTGGCTGCGTATGATGCTGGCCAGTAACCGTGGTACCCTGATGGAGCTGGGTATCACCCCTATCATCTCCTCCGGCATGGTTTTCCAGGTATGTT